CCCCAAAACCCCAAAACCCCAAAACCCCATGCTAAAATTAGCATTTAAATTTTAGTTGATAATTAAATCAAGATTAATTTTTAATTCATATTCATAGTCATTCTCACTTATTAGTATGAGTACTGTTGTTATTTGTATTTAAAAGTTTCAAGTACTTCTGGTACTTTTCATTCTTGACTTAGTTGACCTCTTCGTCCTTTTCCTTAATGGTATCTTTCATCTTCTTCAGCTAGCTGCCCATCTTCTATCTCTGATAGTTGTAGTCCTGCTGTCTATCATTAAGGAACTTTCTCAGTCTCTCGATTTCTTTATTTAAACCCAGTACTATCTGATCATTTCTTGCTGTATAAGCGCTGTACTCACTTTGCACCAGTTCCAATTCTCTAGTCAACTTATTAATAAAGAAGTCCTTAGAGGCTTCCTTCTCCTTAAGCTCAATGATCTTAGCCTCGAAGTTCACATTCATCTGCATCAACTCCTCTTCATGCAGGCGCTTCTCCTATCTTAACCTATCCTCCAGCATCTCATTCTGCTGAGTCAGTTCCACCACTATCTACTCCTCACTGACCATCATGAAGTCTTGCTTTTTGTGTCTGTAATCTTCAGCCACTCGATCTATACTCTGATGATCCTCTATTACTTGCTATAGTTCTGATTGAATCAAGTGCAGCTCTTTCCTCTCAGACTTCAATATCTAGAATTCTTGCTATCTAATGGACATTATATGTGAGTAATTGCGATTAAAGAGCTCAATTTAAGAACGTAAGAGGGTAATCTCTTCAAATAAAAGCGTTCGCTCACGCTGCCAGTTCTGGATCTATTGGCTCAACTGATTGTTTATGTTGTTTTACTAAGACTATTTAGAGGTTAATGGAGGGTTGTTGTTGCCTCCAAAGCTCTTAGCTGAAGATTCACGAGATATGATAGATTACTAATTTTGTGATTCTTGGAATGCTTTCAACTCTATAAGTCTCAGGTTTTCAAACTCCACGAACTAATTACTGATCAATTGCTAAAGTGTCTAAATAGCTTACTGATGCATCTCAAATGACTCTCCATATTTTCTATGCTAATCCTGTTACTGATTCATGAGATTATTGATAAAGGCAGAGAGACTCTCAATGTTCACTATCTGTTGCTACTTCTCCTATTCAAGAAGCTAGATGTGATTCCACATTTGCTCGCATTCTTATTGATAATAATCCTACATTTACTTGCTGCCCTATCCTAGATTGCTACCGCTGTTGTTATTATTCAGCCCTTAGCCTTTTTTCTGAGTAATTTATGAATTCTAAGGTTAATACTTAGACGATTGTGACTTATTCTAAGATGACTCAGAATTGATAATGGATTGTAAACAATTCAGAATCTTATTAAACTGCCTAATTTGCATGGGATCTTAGGCTTCCTGTTCCTATAGCATATACTCTTGATGCTCTTTTTGGCTCTAAAGGATTAAATTCACACCCTAGATTTATTCTTCAAACCTTCTCTTTTGCTCTATCATGTGATTGTCAAGCTTAGATAAGAATAAATCCTTGACACTTTTAGAATTGCTCAACCCATTTTTACCTAGCAAGTCGTTCGCATCACCCAACTGCTTTTGGAGATTTATTGCCAAACTCTGCAGCATCTGAAGTTCATTTGGACTCTTTGCGCCCATTTGTCTTTGATTTTCAATTTAATGATGAATTTAGTCCACTAATATTTGATACTCCTCAATCTCTTTCTAGAACATATCTCTTTCCTTGGTATGCTAGAGCTCCCTCTCCCCGTAACTCTTCTGTATATTCTTTATCTCTGACTTTATTGCTATCAATTCCTCCTATAGTAATTTTTCTCTTAGTTCACTTAACCCCATTAATTGCTTATTACTTGCCTTCAACTAGTTATTTTCCTTAGTCAATAAGTTCTCCCGCTCACCAGCTATCTTAACGAATTATCTTAACTCTTCCTAAAGATTTTTCTTCTCTATTTAGATCACTCTCAGTTTCTCATCATAGATATCCTGCTAGTCTTTGAATTTATCAGCCATTTTAGCCACACATTCACGCCAATGCTACGCCTCCTTTTCCTAGTTTTCTAATTAAGCCTTTAAATGTTTCATACTATCAAATGCACTATTGCTCCCATTATTAGATACATTATCTGAATTCTAGGCGTTATTGTTTTAATTTGATAAGAACTATTCGACTTCCTCAGTCAGCTTTTAAGTTTTATCTTTATTATTGTTTAGCAACGTCAAATTAGTAGATTAGTTATTTGGATCAATATTGTTAATAGATGAGTCATTTTGGATTGTAAATTAATTAGAAGATACTTGCTGAATTGATTTTTACCTTTAAAGCTCTTTAATGGTATCCTTCAAGAGTTTTTGAAGCTACTGATACTGTGATTAATGCTATGCGTCTTTCTCTAGCATTAATCTTTCATGTCTTGCTTTTGAAGTCTCATTTTATGCTATTTGGTCTTATAATGTATTGAAAGCCTTATCAAGTTTAAGTTTGATGACTTGATTTTCTTTACTCAAGTCCTCTTCTCTACGCTTATGACCCATTACTAATTAATCTAGCTCTTCGACCATTTTCAGTCTCACCTCTTAGTCCTTCTCTAATCTCACAGATTAGTGTTATATATCCTTTAAGATGCGAATCTCATGCTCTAAGCCTTTTATCTAAAGCCTATACTAATTTTCTATGCTTTCAAACTCCTCTTACAGTTCCTGTCGCTCTCTTTTCATCATTTAATTACCTTGTCTACTCACATTATCTTTATATTTAAACTCCTCTCTCAGCAGCTACTATTCTAGACTTATAGAAATCTTTAACTGGGTTAATGATTGGTATATGATGCCAGAAATAGGTGAGACCTTATCCATAAGGTATTGAGACTTATCCAAAGAGCTGAACTCAGGTCTCTCTAAATAGTTAAGATCGATATTAGCACCCTAGAATGGATCACTATGGTCAAAGTTCATCTTATTCCCTCCAAGATTGCTATTGGTTAGGATTACTATTTGGTCTTTAAGGTCTTTATTTTTAATCTCCAATTCTTAAATGTAGGTCTCTTGTGATTCTAATAATTTCTTAAGCATTTGCTCTTTCTAAGTGGTGACTGAATTATAAAGATTATCCTAACTAGACAGGTTAAACTACTGGGCATCTATCGAGTTGTTTTGCTTTAAATTTAGTAGATGCTATTTGGTAGACGCCATCAAATCTATCTGCTAATTTTGATTGCTATTGTTGTTCATGGACGAATACTGCTTACTGTTCATATTTTTAGCGAATTTATTCTAAACTATTTTGAATTTTTATCAAATTAGTTATCATTATTTATTGAAGGGGTTTTGGGGTTTTGGGGTTTTGGGG